CTCTCCTGGAACTCACTCTGTAGACCAGGCTGGCCTCGAACTCAGAGATCTCTCTCCCCTGCTTCTCAAGTGCTGGGTTTAAAGGTGTGCACCACAATGGTTAGCGATTGCAAACTCTTCCCGTGGGTTTGAACGGTTCAAGGGACCATTACTGCTCCGTGTGATCCAACCAGAATAGGCAAAGACTTATGACCAAAGGATGCCTCTCACAGCCCCTTCAAGAGACTTGCCCCTGCGACTACCAAAGCTGGCCTTCCCTAAAGACCAGGGCTGTTGGGCTGCATATTTAGAGTCCAGGAAGATGCAGCCAGGCCTCTGGAGAGGGTAGACAGAGAACTTGCAGAAAGGCTTCTTTCCTGAGGGCAGAAACGTGCTGTTTTAATGCCTCTCTATTTTTCAGCTGCCTGACTTTGGGGGAAGTTACTTAACATCTCAGAGCCTTAAATACCACCTTTGGTAAAATGGCTGCTTCATTGCTTTATGTATAAAAGGAGAGAAAACATCGTGTGAGATCTCTTGCCCAGGGCCTGAAGCATTATAGACATTCTGTAAGTAGTAGCTGGGACTACGAAGTTGTCTCTGGACTCTCAGCCCTGCCCAGCACTGTGATTAAACAAGACAAGGCTGGCAGTCCCTTGCCTTTATCCCTGAAACAGCTGTGCCAGACTGGGACATGCAGCACGTCCTTTCTACTCCATGACAGCAACCAGGACCAACAGCCAGACTCCACATCAGACCCAGCCACAATGACAGACAATCCTTTTCCCACCCATCCTCCCTCCTTCAGGCTTGGGGACCCAGACCTGGGAACCAATCCCTCAATCTCATGCCAGGCTTCCTGCGATCCCCCCTCCTCTTGTAACAAAAGTGACCCCCAACTTCTGGGAGGCTGAAGTAAGAGGATGGCTCCAAGGTTGAGGCTAGCTTCAACAGAGTGAGACCCTGTCTCCAAACAAAACAACCACAAAAGATAGACCCGGGGCTGCAGCTCTGTTACTAGTGTGCTAACCTAGCACATACGAAGGGTCCAACCCCTGCTCCGTGCTGCCCCTTTAGCACCAGGGAATACAGACAGGAGGCTCAGAAGCCCCAGAATCTATCAAGGAAATGGCTTAGTGGGTAATAAGCGCTTTCTATTCAGATATCCAGCACCCACAGAAAGGCTGTGATCGCCAGTTGGGCGGGCAGAGCAGCCCCATCTGTGATGCCTGGAGGAGGCCGGTTGACTAGACAAGCAAAACCAAGCAAG